AATAATAATAATAATAATAATAATAATAATAATAATAATAATAATAATAATAATAATAATAATAATAATAATAATTTATTGAATTGTAAAATAATATTAATTAATAATAAATAACTAATAATTAATTTACACTAAATCTGTTATAAATATTTGTTAACAATTAATTATTAAGTAGTTATTCAATAATTATTGTAAAATATGATAAATAAGTAATAAATACTAAATTATTAATATTATTTTAGTTATTGTTAATTTGTAAAAAAATATCTCATAAATAATAATAATAATAATAATTACTATTATTATTATTAATTAAAACAACTATGGTCAATTAATCAAATTTTATTTATAAAATTATTTTATTGATTAAAAATTAGTAACTGACATAAACATTTATAATCATATAAGAAAATCCAAATATATAATATTTTAGTTTCAAAGATAGATAACAAACAATCAAACAGACATTAAAATTGTAAAATAACTATTTCTCATAACCCAACATTATGATATGGGAACTATATTATCAGAAAGAGCAAATAATCATATGTTTTCAAAATAGTTTTTTAATACTCGTATGCCTTTTCAAATGTCAAATATAAATGTTACAGAATCATTTTCAGGTATCGAATGTAAGCGAAGGCAATTAGAAAAAGATAGCCAATAAAAAATCAATGCCAGTCATGGGCCTTAAGAGCCGTACAAGGAATGGCAATTGGTTTATGTAAATATCAATATTCAAGTTTGGTTTAGCCCCAGCCTCGCTACCAAAAACAATAAATGATAAATCTCTTGCCAGCTCATAACTGTAACTGCAAGTATGCAACTAACACAACCAACTGCCAAACTTTATCACAATCTGACTTCAATTGTAATATTTAAGTTGAGCCCTGTTGACCTTGTTGATCCGTTTCTGACCCACAAACGTAACTACGGACTCTAGTTGAGGGACGGGGACCACGTTGACTCGTTGAGAGGCTGGCTGGCTGGCTGTGATTTGCGTTGAGAAGTGAGCGCTATTTTATACTAGAAAATTAGCAGCAAGCAAAATGGTCAAGGGATAATATAGAACATAATAAATTCGTAGGAAATCCCGGTGAACCAAATGATTACTTCCTATGCCTACGTTACAGTTACAGTATAAAAGAAAAGACATGGATCCTACATCTCACACAACAGCAGCTACTGCCAAAAGATAGAAGGGGGATGGATAGATAATAGGGCGGATATAAAACATTTAAAAAAAGAGGTGAAAAAACCATGTGAGCTAAGAAGAGGAAGACCCGGACATTGAGTTTAACTTGTTCAGGAGGCCTTTAATCTCACCTTCTAAATTGGATTTCACCTCTGGCGACAGCTTCTCTCCTGATTTCTCCAGCACCGACGTCATCAACTCAAGATTTTGTTTTATAAATTGAAGAGGTGTCCCCTCACCAAGGGATGATGGCCTTGAACCAGATGCCACCGTTTTAGTTTCACTTCCTGATGTGGTCAGAGGAAGGAGCTGATACTGGCTTGAGCTCCCATCATGTTCTGAAGCCCCAGAAAGATGCCGAAGCCGGTAATTGACAACAGCATTTCCAAAAGGGCTGGCCTTTTCTGAGCTGCTGAACGCTTCTTTTGCATCAGTGCTCTTTAAGAAGACAACCCGGGCACAACTGGAATCCCTCAATACCTCTGTTTCCGATTCATTGAGGGCCCCAAACCTACTGAACATTGTGATCAGATCATCTTTTGATGGCAAAGAGAAACCTGGGGCAAATGTCAATAGCAAAGCTATTGCTGATGAAGCTTCTCTATCACTTCCCTCTTTGCCATGGTTCACCTTCAAATCTGATGTGCCAGCAGTGTGTTCTACCTTGCTGTTTGACTTCCCCGAGCTTGCTTCTTCCTTTGTTATTTTCTTGCGCTTTGCTTTATGTTCGGTTGGTGGGGGGTCAGTTACCTGGGAATTAAACTCCGAGGACTTTCTCTTTTGACTGCCTCGAAGAGCTACTTGGTCGTTGTATTTCCCGTAATTTGATCCATCACGATACAGTGAGCTTCTAAATATCAAAAAGAAACCTTTGATTGCATCAGAAGATTGATTTCTTTTCAGATAACAAACATCAAGAGCTACAGTGCGGAGTTCCAACAGCATATCAACTGAAGAAGCATTGCTTTCCTTGAAAATAAGATTAACTTGCTGCTTCTTTGGGGTTCGAGGACTGAAGGTACCAGGTGTACTCCTGGCATTACATTCCTTGGAATGTTTCTTTTGAAATGTCTCGTAGCTGCATCTCACAATTGGAGGTGTTCCAGTAAGTTGGTCAATATCCTTGCTGATAAACTGCCCTGTGCGAGAAACCTTTGTAGCTTCTGGGGTTTCAGTTTCAGAACCCGTTGAAGAGAGAAAGCTTTTATTCCCTGTACTTAGGTTGGTGTAGGGAGGAGACAGGTACTTGCTCTTCTTCCTTAACCTTGATGAAGAGCCTTTCTGAGCTCTTTCAACCCCTCGATCATTCTCTGCAGAATCACCCTTCTCTGACATTGCAGGAGATGGTGAAAACCTGGCTGCCTTCAATTTCTTAGAAGAAGGAGCAGACTTTGTATTGCCCTGGCCTTCCTCAGCTAGCTCATTTTCCAATTTTTTCTTCCTCTTGCCTCTTTGGGATGTTGAGGTCGACTTGCCTGATAGTGTTCCTTCAGTGACATCATCCTCACAGTTCTCAGACTCAACATTCTTCTCCCCTCCCAGAAGTTCAGCCATACTTCTCTGCTTCTTTCTCTGGTTCAACTTTTCCTCTGAAATCCCTGGCCATTTATGGGATGATGTTTGACAGGTTTTTCCACCCATTGGTGAAGAAGGCCAGTCTTCTTCAGCTGGACCAGTGGTCTGGGGTCCTGCCTGACCATTGATATCCCTCTTGTATTTTATCCCATTTCCTGCACAATCATCAGGGTTTGAAATTTCCTTGGGTTCATGGAAGATAGGCATTTGCCTGTATCCCTTTGTACGACAGAATGCCGACAAACGACAGTTAAGCACTTTGAGTTCAAGGATATTGGTCAATGAAATATCCTGAGCAATACATTTGAGACACTCGAGAAACTGCGTGGGTTCAAAGTGGGTGACATAGAGTTCGCCAATCCTACCTTCAGGGACAACCACTCCTTCCTTGATTCCAGCATTCACAACTAATGGCCTAGTAAGTCCAACTTGAGATGCCTCCGGTACACAAGAACAAATCATATCCAACTCTACACATCTGCCAATCTCTTCAACAGCCTCCTCTACAGCACCAAGGAAGCTTTTAGAATTGCTTTGCTTAGACATCTGTTCAAAGCCCTCCTGAAAAGGCTTTAACTGGGATGGATGACACCAAGCAAATGTGCCATCCCCAAAATATGCCACCAGTAGGCGGTCTCCTCGATGGTACTTCGCAGCATAATTAGATGCATCTGAAGGATCGTAGATCTGTCCAGGCCACCAAGGATGACTTTTAATTTTGCCCCATACGAAGTCACCCACCGAGAAATCATGTTCTTGACTATAGGTTCCTTCCTCCATTTGGCCTTCTTCATCCACTGCTTCTTTTACTTCCTCCTTTTCTGTTATGACACAATTTTTGGTAATCACAGGCATGGAAACGCTCACTTCTGAAAGTTTAACACCAGAGTTTACACTACTGTCAGGAAGCAAACCTCCATTTTCCTTAAACTCGCTTTTTTGATCCCCATTGCTTGTCTCTTTCACTTCACACCCCGAAAGAGGCTGCTCCTTGATCACTGAAGCATTATCTTGAACTACAGCAGCAGCAGAACCGTGAACTTCCACTACTAGTGAGATACCTTCTCCAGAAACTTCAATCTTCTTGTCAGAATCTCCTCCGATCAGCGGTAACGACCCACCATCTTTCAATCCATCCTCCGTCAATATCTTCTCATCTTCTTTAACTGTCGGAACTACTTCCGGACAAGAAACATCTCCCTCATTTTTCTCTCCATTCTCGTAAGTTGGTCCTACTTGTTTCCCATTCTCTAGCATCTCCGAGGACCCCGACAACATCTGGGTTTCATCCTTCACAACCGTGTCGCCATCCGTTCCGTTCTCGAAAATCTTCTCCGTTTCAACCGCTCGAGTTGCTGTTACCTCAACATCGTGACCATCCACGCCTTCGCCTTCGTTCTTGCTAACAGAAACCCCGATTCCATTTTCTTGAGTCCCTGCAACGGAAACTTCCGAAGGCAACTCTAACCCGGTCTCGCCGTGGGTCGAACCTGACGGACAAGAAACCCTAGATGCTTCTTCGACGGTGCCATCTTCTAGGGTTTGAGCTTTAGCTGGTTCAGAAGCAGGACAACCCTCTGCTAGGGTTTCTGGGCTTGCCATTTCTTGCAAAGATTTTCAAAATTTCTCTTGTTTTCTCGAATAGTATTTACATGGGTTTCGCAGCTGAGAAAAAACAGAACCAAAAGAAAATCATAGAATATTTGTCTCAGGGTATTGTTTTATCATGAGAGAGGAGGATGAAATTATATAAAAAAGAAAAAAAAAAGCAAAGCGCTTCTCATGCATGTAAACAAAATGATGGAAAGAAGAAAATTTACCTGAAAACGAAACCGAAGGGTTCTGGCCGAGTGATTTGCCGCAGATCTTTAGCAGCTGTAATGTGCGAACAAATCGATTAATGTGAGAGAGAATCAGTGTCCAAAACATAGCCTAAAACGATGGTAAAGGTCTGGGAAGGGAGTACACTCTCATCTCCTGTATCGCGAGAAAATTAAAATTCCTGTATACCAATCCACGAGAAATAAATATATACAGAAACTACCGGAGGTTTACAGCGTAGGGTTTAAGCGGTGAGCTTTATTGGTTTTCCGTATATAGTGGATTTACTTCCACGTTGGCAATTATATATAGAAATGCTTTCCTGATCGGCTCAACCAGGATACTTCCTACACGCCCTTGGTTTGATTTTATTTTATTTTTGGGATTTTTTACAAAAATACTAACAATGTTTAATTAATTGACAAAATCCGATACAAATTTGCAAAAATTAACGCCAGAAAAATGTCTTAAATTCATCACAACTTTTCAAAATGTCTAAAACTCACCATCTCACTAATTTGGCATTAAACAGATTAACAAATGTTAATATATTACCATTTTAACCTTCATAGAAAATTATAATATATATACAAAATAAATTAACGGGTGTTAATATATTACCATTTTAATATTTAGATATGAAAAAAGGAAAAAGTTTATTTTTTTTTTCAAATATAAAATACATAAAAACATAGAAATTACAAAAAATATAAAAATTATAGAAATTTCAAACAAAATAAAAATTATTTTCAAATTATAGAAACTATAGAAGTTGAAAAAGATCAGAAAATAAAAATTGCAGAAAAAACATAAAAAATTATAGAAAAACACAGAAATTGTAAATAAATAACAAAAATACAGGAACATTTATAAATTGTAGAAAATAAAAAAATGTAAAAAAAATAGAAATTATAAAAAAACATGGGAAATTATAACAAAACACTAAAAATGCAAAAAAAAAAAGAAAATTGAAAACTGAAAAGACCATTTTTCCTCTAACTCACTATTCAAGGGTAATTTGGTCATGAAAATTGTTATTTATGCTGACATGGACACCTCTGTTAAGAAGCATTGACAGTGCACTAACGGAAGGTAAGTTTTAGAAAATAAAAACTTACTGACAGGGTGAGTTTTGGACATTTTGAAAGGTTGTACTGAGTTTAAGAGAAATATTGAAAATTTATGGTGAGTTTTAGACAATTTCCCCGCCCCCCCNCCCCCCCCCAAAAAAAAAAAAACATCAGTATTCACTGATATGGCTTTCTTAAAATCATATTGCCCTTTCTTAATTTACACATATCAATATGTGTAATCAAATTGCCCTTTCTTAAAATCAGGCTTTGCAAATTCTTATCTCTCTCACAATTCTCCCTCCATGTCCATTTCTTCCAAAGTTCCAGACAAGTCTAACAAACACAAACAATGGCTAAGGGTGCAAGTCGGGTTGGCCCAAGCTAATAAGTATACTGTTTCGGGCTCGGGCTTCAAATTACTCTTTAAAATTTTAACAAAATCCCAACCCTAACCTGCAAAAGTTGCTCCTAATCAATGGCTCAGCCTTTTGGTTTCCCATACTAGAGATCCAAACTGCGTACACTATTTTAAATGTTCCTTATGTTCAATATATAGTGAATTGTCATGTTCATCAAAACCCTGTGAAGAGCTATCTTTTAGGGCCTGCAACTCAAGCTTCTAAATTTACACATATCAATATGGGACCGATTTGGGTTGCTCTCTCTCCGTGGTTCTCTCTTTCCTTTTTGTTTTCTCTAGCTAGAATCTCTTACCCTGTACAGAAAATTTCTTAGAAGAACAATCGCAACAGATGGTTGGTTAGCTGAGCTTCAAACTCATGATCGTTTGTGATAGTGGCATAGGAAAAACAACTTTTATGAAGAGGCTCAAAAGGTTTACCTGTTGCCCACCTGCTTGTTGAATTCGATTTTGTCAATTAAATTGCTGGTTATTTATTTATAAACCATTTTATGATGAAATTCCAAAAGATTTCACAATGGAGGACAAATAGGTTTTGCAATTAAGGCTCAGTTGGGAAGGAGTACAAATGCAAATTTGTAGAGTGTAAAACCTTGTATTTTGTATGTATTTACACTCTACAAATTTGTATTTATACTCCTTCCAAACTGAGCATGGAATTTATATCTCCATTTCCCAAACGGCCCACAAATCCCAAATCCAAATAGTCCCACTAAAAACGCAAGCCTCCATTGTGACTTTTACCTCCCTGAATGTTTCATATCGCTTTACCTCCCCAAGTGTTTCCTACTCTTCGGTTCATGTCTTTATAAAGCAACCCAACTTATGAAAGAGAAACCCAAAGAAGAAAACCCAATTTCATCTATGGGATGTATCCTTTCTCTTGAACTGCCAAATGCACAAATCCCTCGTCCTACACCTTAGACAGTGACTCGTGTGCATCTTCTTTTCTCCGTCTCTCTATCTCACTCTATAAAAATTAGAGGAAATTAGAGAACGAATGAAGGAAAGAGAAAGAAAAGAAGCGAAAAAAATGAGGCATTTTCATTTTATTGCTGGGGTAAAGTGGTTTATAAAGTTGTATTTCTTTCTCGCCCATTGATTTAGCCATATTTTTCTAAAAGCATCTGATATTGTCAATCTACGATTTTTTTTTTCCTTTTTTTTTTTTATAAAAAGCCCTCTTTTTTTGAGTTTGAGAGGGGGTGATGGTACCATCAACACAATAGGATAGGCCTCCCCTGGTCGGTTCTACCCAATCGACCAAATTGAACCGATTATTTCGGTTCTGGATTTCGTCTTGATTAATCATATTTTAAGGTTCATTTTTTTTGATAATTTTAACCATATTTTATGTATAAAATAATAAATTTGATAGGCAATATATTAAATAATTTTAGTTAAAAACGCTTACATAGATAATTTATTATTTTAATATTGTTATATTATCAAAAATCAAGTTTTAAGTTATTACTCATTTAAATAATTGTAACCGTTAATGTAAAGTAGTCTATTGGGTAGGTCTGATTTTTGTCCCAATTAATAATTAATTTGGGTCTCAGTCCCAACCCAGACTTGCCATAATAACAATTATATCGTTAGACCCCCCCAACCGGGGTACAAGTGGAACTTGATCCCAAGTTTCCACTACAATCAGCTGGAGACATTATCAATAGATTAGCTGGCACCTTGTGATAGGTGGGTGATCTTTTGTATTGGCCATATATTTCCTATATGTTGTTTCACATTAATATTATCATAAAGTAGATAGTTGGTTTTGATGCAGGTCGGTGCAGATCATAAAAATAAATTCGATTATTTATATCTTCACCATTTACTTTTATCTTTACATTCACACTATTTTTTAGTGGAGCTAATGCGAGTAATGCGAGTAATGCGAGTAGCACAAGCATGTCTGAACCCACACGTGTACTGCGATTACTATGAGCCAATGCTAGTCCCCAAATTCTAATGCATTTGTGTGGCTAGAGTGTGGGTAGAAAAAGTGAACAGTAAATCTGGGTTCCGGTGTAAGGGGGGAGAAATTCCCAAATTCATGGGGATGGTGGGGGTAGGGATGGTAGTTTTCCCGATCCCTATGGGGATTCTCCTCGAATGGGGTGGRGATGAGGAAATTTTCATCCCCATTGGCGGGGACAAGGAGAGCACTCCCCACCCTATAGGATCCCCACTAATGTATCTATATATGTTTTCATATGTTTATATACTAGTAAAAGTGCACGTGCGTTGAACATGACAATATCAAATGATGATGATAATAGTCAACAACCAAATGACCTTACGGATTGAACCGTTAACCTATTTAACCAGGAAAATGGACTATGATTAAGACATTAATTCTTTTTTTTTTGTATTTTAGCCATTTGTATTTTTACTAACAATAATTCTTAATTTTCAAACATATTTTTGTTTAATATAAAGAATATATAATATTAATGCATGTTCAATTTTTTTTCTATAAAATTTATAAAAAAATCTATATTTTTATTTTTTATTATTTAATTTATGAGATAATAAAAACTACTTATTTACCAAGAGAAAATGCAATTTCAATATATTGTTTGAATATTGGTTTTTATTATTGTGGTCAAATCAATTATTTATATATAATATATATGTTGTTTATTATTTATTTATAAATATGTAATTTATATTGCATTTTTGTAATCTTCTTATATGATGAAAATAGTTGAAAAAAATACTTTTATTTTTTATTTTTCTTTATTTTAACTATTATATTTTCTTTTCCTTTTAATAATTTGTTATTTTTAAATTAAATCGGATTGTATCAAATTTGAATATCCAACATCTTGATCAGATTCAGGTTCAAAGCAATATTTATGAGATCCGATAAGATCTTCGGATCGAATTGAATTCAAATATATCCTGATTCAAATCCAATCCGATCTATTTACATCCCTACCAAACCACTTGCCTACAATGACCTAACTAATTAAATCATTGAACCATTTGACATGGTTAGTAGGGTCATGTGTTATACATTAATGCTCTTTATTTTTTATCCCATTTCTATCGTTAATGAAAATAATTCTCATTAATCACATTTTTTTATATGATGAATATATAATATTATAGAATGTAGCCAAAATTATTGACAAATTTCTACATTTTCTACAATTTTATGCATTATATTATTTACTAATAGCATCATGTGTTGATTTATTTGRCATAGATACTTTAACCACTAGCCCACCACTTGGATGGACAAACCATTTTACTTTTTCGGTTGATTTTAAATTATGTATTCCATTTTCATCATCGGTAAAAGTAATTCTTATTTTCACATTTATTGTTGTTTAATATGGTGAATATGTAACAATAAAAATGTATCAAAATGCTTTAAACAAAGCTTATATTTTTCTTTGAGTTTATGTATGTAAAGATTGACCCGGAATGTTAGATCATTGACCTACCTACCATCTAGAGATGGAAATGGTTTCATTTTTAAACTAGTTTTAAATTTTGTATTTCATTTATATCATTAACCTACCTACCATCTCCTGTGAATAAACTTATAAGTATGGGAGATGTTCCCAATGCATGGTAGGATGTGCGTGTGATGAGCATATTTGGTCTCCACTAACCCACCCCCTAAATAAGAAGATGGTTTAATTTCCCATCAATTTTAAGTTGTATATTTGATGTCCATCATTAATAA